CCGAGTTATAGATCGCTGGAATTCGCTTCCAGACCACGTGGTTAAGGAACAGACGGTTAAGGGTTTTGCGCGCCAGCTCGATGCTCTTGGGTGGCAACAGCAAACCTTTCCTTTTTCCTAGCCGACTCCTTCACTTTTCAGTTCTTTTTTAATGAGTCAAATATCTTGGTATTCAACTTGCTTAGCTCTTTATGTAGAATGCAGACAAGGGAGAACCACAAGGATTGAGACGTAAGTTCTATTACGCAACACGTAGGCTCTATAAGAAAGAATCAGTAACATAGGAAGGGATGAAAGAAAAGTTACAGTCAACTGTTCGCTTCAGGTTTTTGTCCTTCTTCAATAATTGCGCAGGAGTGTCTTTCTGAAAGGCAGACAGAAAAGGTGTCGTCAGAGCAACGATTTAAATTCAACCACGCGCCAAACTAGTTTCGATCACTCTTTACACCGCACCCCTTCTATATAGGCAACGTCCCCGTTGCCACACCAAAGCCCCCTTGAGCTGGTACTTCAACTTCGGTGGCTACTTCTGTCGGTGGCTCATTGTGATGTTCCTCATCCGAATGCTCAGATTCGATATGGAAAGGTTTAAGCCGATTAAAGTGTACGACCATGGGCGGCCCAACGGCGTTCTTTGGGTCCCTAATCACACAAGTCAGATCAGATATTATTCGGTCTACCACGTAGGGGCCAGCCCACTCACGATGCAGCTTCGCTGGTATTCCGGATACCGGTGCCTGATGCAAATATACGAGGTCGCCTGCTTTCAACGGGACACCGAAGACCTTCTTGTCGTAGTATTCCTTCTGTCGCCGTTGAGCGTTCGCCAAATGGATGCGTGCCGCTTCGTGTGTGCGTCGAACGGAGTCGAGGAGTTTGCTGACGTATTCAACAACCGACGGGTATACCTGTTGTGATCTCGGTAATCGGACATCCGAGGGCAACCGAACTTCTCTACCCGTCCACATAAACGACGGCGTTTGTCCGGTAGAAGAGTGGACCGTACTGCGATAGGCCAATAAGCATTTAGGCAATAACGTATCCCACTCGTAAATGTTCTGGTCCACGAACGCCTTCAAGAGTGACTTCAACGACCGATTCGTACGTTCAACTTGTCCGTTCCCTTGTGGATGGTAGGCCGTTGTTCGCGTTTTATCAATACCGAGTACTCTGCACATCTCCTGGACCAGTGAGCTTTCGAAACATGATCCCCTATCGGAATGCAATTGCCCAGGCGCTCCCCATTGGCAAACCCAGTGGTTAGTCATCGCTGTTGCCACAGTGAGAGTATCAGCCTGCGCGATTGGCACGGCTTCGCACCATTTGGTGAAGTAGTCTACCATGACTAGAATGTAGCGATTCCCTCTCGGCGTTTCCGGTAGTGGACCAACGAGGTCTACTCCAACTATTTCGTTCGGGTAACCTGCTGTCATGGATTGTAATGGTGCCCTATGAGCAATAGGCGGATTTTTGAACGTCGCGCATCTTTCGCAAGTTTGGCAGAAGTTGACAATGTCTCTTCGTTGGTGCGGCCACCAAAATCGTTGACGCGCCGCCGATTCGAGTTTATTGATTCCAGCGTGTCCCAGCTGTTGGTGCAGTTCCGACAGCACTTCGGTAACTAACGCCTGTGGAACAACGATCCTCCTCAGGTACGTGGGGCCGAAATCGAAGACCAACACACCCTCTTCGATGGCGAGTTTATCCCACATCGCCCACAAGCACCGAGCTTCGTAGCTTTTCCCTTCCATTTCTTTCGGAGCTGGTTTGTCCCTTCCCGAGCGCCGCTCATGGTAGATGAGTGATATGTCTGGGTCCGAAGCCTGTGCCTCTTGCCAACGACCATACTCGGCTTTTTGTAGGTTGACTAGCGCTACGTGTTGCGTAATGCAGGAAGGACAGTTTCCGTGATCTCGAGACGGAATCCTCGATAGCGCGTCCGCGTTGCCGTGTAGTTTCCCAGGCCGATGGTGACATTCGAACTCATACTCCTGTAGTTGCTCCTGCCATCGAGCAATCTGCCCCTCAGGGTCCCTGAAGTTTTGCAACCACCTGAGTGATTGGTGATCAGTCCGTACTAAGAATTTTCTTCCTAGAAGGTAGTGCCGATTTTGTTTTATGAAAAACACCAACGCCAACATTTCTTTCCTTGTCGTACAGTAATTTCTTTCTCTTGACGTAAGGCTTCTACTACTGTATGAAACCACTCTCTCTATGCCATCCCGCCCTTTTTGTGACAAAACCGCTCCAATGGCTTGATCGCTAGCATCCGTGTCCAAGATAAACTCCCCAGCGTGTGGTGACAAGTCGGGGAAGATTAACATCGGGGCAGTACACAGAGACTCACGCAATCGATCGAAGCTCGTTTGACATTCGACAGTCCAATCGAAATTGCGATTATTCTGCAACAACGCGTTTAAAGGGGCTGCGACCTCCGAAAACCCTTTTATGAATCGACGGTAGTATGATGCCAGTCCTAAGAAACTGCGTAACTCCTCGGCATTAATGGGAATTGGCCACGCCTTTATCTGATCTGTCTTGCGCGGATCTGTCCGGATGCCTGCTCTAGAGATGATGTGTCCGAGATAGGTAACTTCTTCTTGTAGCAAGCGACATTTTTTGGTTGAAGTTTCAAACCTACCTTGATTAGACACGTTAACACTTCAGCTAGATTGCTTAGATGTTCCTCCTTCGTTCTCCCATGTACGATGACATCGTCCAGATAGACGAGACACTTGTGAGGAATTAAATCCTGAAGCACTTTCTGCATAAGGCGTTGGAATGTTGCAGGAGCGTTTGTTAGGCCGAAAGGCATTGTTTGGAACTCATAAAGACCTGAAGGGATTACAAAGGCTGTCTTCGCTCGGTCACTCTCTTCAACTTCCACTTGCCAATAGCCGGACACCAAATCTAGCGTGCTGAAATAAGCCGATCCTCCGAGCGCGTCGAAAAGGTCATCGATTCTGGGCAGTGGGTATGCATCTTTCCGCGTGACCTCGTTTAGCCGCCTGTAATCAACACACAGCCTAAAGCCACCGTCTTTCTTCTTTACCAAGACGACTGGGGCTGCCCATGGGGAAGTAGAGGGTCGTATAACTTCCTTTTTCAACATCTCGTCTATGAGCTTTTGCAGCTCGCCTTGCCAGTGCACTGGGATCCGTCTTGGGTGAGTCTTAATCGGGGTCGTATTCCCCGTGTCGATTAGGTGTTTCACGACGCTGGTGCGGCCCAGGTCTCCAGTCTGCCAGGCGAATGCATCAGAGTGGGCTAGCAGCACTTCTTTGAGCTTTTCTAACGTTCCCTCGTCCGCTGGCAACACGAGTGAGCGGATAAACGTGTCTACCCGGTGTTCCTCGTCAGAGGGGCTCCCACAAATCGTAAACGTTTTACGACTGTCAGCGTGGCCTTGTTTAAGCAATACAACGCAACTCTCGGTGATCAACTGGCATTTGTCTAAATCTAAGTGACATCTCAGACGTCGCAATAAGTCCATTCCAATGATTACAGCAAATGGAAGGTTATCGGCGACAATAAACTCATGGCGGAACTTCTCGTTAGCAATGTGCACCTGAGCAGTGATAGAATCCCGAACAGCCAGGGGTTCCCCATTAGCAGCGGTCAGATGACAGTAACATGGTGTCCACAAACAATCTGTCAGCGACTTGGTTATATCAGCTCGGACTAAGCTCCTGCATGCCCCTGTGTCAATTAGACCTACCAGTGGCACCCCTGCTACGATTAGCTCTATCGTTAATGAAAATGCGGACGTTGCACTAGTGACGGCGGGAATGAAAACTGACTTCACACGACCGCACTCACCTTGAAGATTTCGCCTGCCACGGCTTGGCGGGAAATTTCCTCTTCTTGGTGGAGGGGGCGGGGCCTTCGGAAGTACGATTGCACTGGAGGTCGCGAATAATCCCCTCGAAACGGGACGCGATTCCAATTTCTTCGGTCTGGTGGTTGGAATCTAGCGGGGCTGTATCGATTCAGCACGCAGCATGGTTCCATGGGGCCCATGGACTCGTCGACTTGCTCTAATTGATCTGCCACTGTTAAGGCTGCCTGAAGACACGTAGGTCGTCGTAAACGGAACTCTCTTTTTACCGAGGGCGTCTGGATGCCCTCGAGCAACTGCTCTAACACTCGCTCGTCCTGTTGTTCCGGCGTTTCATCTGTGTAGGCATTTACCGCCATCCTCCGCAATTCGCGAACGAATGTTTCCACGTTTTCTCCCGGTCTCTGATACCGGGCATGGAAAACTCTGCGCAGTTCATCGGGCAGGCCAGGCCGATCTAAGATGCGGCGAAGGGCAGCGAAGGTTTCCGTGGTGACTTCTCCCTCTAACACTTTACTATCCGTAACTTTGTCGAATGCCTCTCCTGCTAGCAGGCCCATGATCACCGTACCCCGTTGTTGGGCTGGAAAGTGCTTGACGTACATTTGCACCTGTTTCTCCCATCGGAGATATGGCATGCCTGGAAAAAACTTTTCTGGAGGGGGTAACGGGGGTGTGGAAGGGGCGGGTGTCAGATTTGTTGTCATCTTCCGCATAGCGTCCGACAAGGATTCCAAAGCAGAAGCAATCCTTACCCCCGGATCGGAGGTCAGCGGCTGAATTTCATCACCAGACAGTTTACCTGGCTTTGCCATTATCTCTTGATCCTGGCAGGGTCGCCAATTGTAGAATGCAGACAAGGGAGAACCACAAGGATTGAGACGTAAGTTCTATTACGCAACACGTAGGCTAGTCAACTGTTCGCTTCAGGTTTTTGTCCTTCTTCAATAATTGCGCAGGAGTGTCTTTCTGAAAGGCAGACAGAAAAGGTGTCGTCAGAGCAACGATTTAAATTCAACCACGCGCCAAACTAGTTTCGATCACTCTTTACAACACAGTTAGCAGGCCTCAAGGTCACCGGTCCATCGCGACTCTTTTGAATCTGTTATTGATTGCTGTACATAATAAGTTCCCAGTTTAACTGTTGCCCCTATCATCTTGTACACGGCTAGCAAATGCCACTTGCAAGTTTTAGTTATCTGCTTCATAATTGTAGCGCCTGACGATATGTATCGAAAAGAAAGTTCTTCGCAAATGTTCTGTTCATGTCTGAATAGGCATAATTTATGAGTATAGGAATCTCTATAGTACCGCTTCCCAAAGAGTGGTCCGCGAATGCCCAGGCGGTCTGTGGGCTAATTTCAGGGAATCCGCATGATCCCCCAAAGTGTTACAATTCTATTAGAAAATTTTATGGACGCGAGCAGTCTATTTCACGAATTTATGACAAACATGCCTGGAAAATTTTCAAATAAATTCTAACGGTTTACATTGTAGCCTTGTGCATTGCCCATGGAAAAATACCCCTTCCAAGGAAGAAGCTTGTTTTGGCAGGGAGTTATAATGTGAGCGAACGAATCTTTCCAAGTTCATAAAGATCGTGTGTTAATTTCACTGTGATGTCACGGGCAGTGGCTGCATGGGTCATTCTACATCCACTCAAGCTCACGTAACCCAGGCTATGTCCCTGGAGGAGCAACGAGAAGTGTGCTATGCGAGATGACCCAAGTTTGCGGTCATTTCAAGTGTTACTATCCTCCGAAATAAGCCAACCGGAAGGAGAGGCCCGTTTGCGGGATCGCTTCAATGGAAGCTCAGCAGGAAAGCGTGGATATTTCTGTGCTTAACGAACGTGCTCCTTCGATTCCGCGAATTCGAGGGAAACTACATCAGCGACGTTACAAAAGGGTGGCACTTTCGTTCACTACTTTCATTATTTTCAAAGCCCAACTTATCATAGTAACCAAATTTCTGGTGTGTTTTGGACTCTTGTGTTTAATTATTTCTCTTCATTGTGGTAGTTAGACCTGTAACATCAACAGGGACCATGAATTGAAGAATGGAATACTGCTAAATGTTTCACAGGAATATTCTTCGTCGAATTCAGACGTAGTAGTAGTTGGGCCATCTAATGTGCCTACTGAGCATGCAGCAACTGAGACTTGCGATGTTTCTGTATTACTAGATGTGGTGCAATATAATTCTGTGCCAACCAGATCCTCTGTACCAGTGGGTAAGTGGCGAAATACAACAACATTTATCTTCGTTTTGGATTTATGCAGTCCAATAATTGTCCACAAGGTGACTTGTGTAACAAAGTACTTCTGAACATGGTGCCTATTCAAATGCAGCGGCATTTTGCAAAATTCATACGGATTGTAAAGACAGAAAAAAGTACTTACAGCGCATGCAAGATAAAATAGTAAACACACAAACGTACATGCTTCACGCGTCGCAGACGAGAGAATAAGCTACGGAAGCATCTTACATAGTTAGTTATGGTAATGCGCTGACAGCAGAACCGAGAAACGTATCCGGCCATGCATACAAAATGCATGGAGATGACCTAAGACTCTTCCTTTCAAAAAGCTTTTCACAGACTGTCTCTGTGTGATTTCTGATGCAAAGCGAACGATGTGTACCTTGTCATGGTAGACAGCTATCGCCGTGCTTCTCCCATTTGCCACAACTTAGCTGTGTGAGATTGCATTCTCGCATTATATCTATACAAAACAAAGTACCGAAACAGACCTGAAGCGTAACGAGATACGAGGTTATAGCTTTCCTCAATAACACCTAGCATCAAACAAGTCAGCGCTGCATGTCGGAATGAATTTTATGCAAGATACTAAGCCTTAATTTAGTAGCATTTCCATGTAAGTTCAACAGCCTTCACTTTTGCCAACATGAATGAACAGCTGTGCAATTTCAGTGTACAGTGATGAACTCCATCTACTTTTTTATATTATTAAAGCCTAGTTCTGTGGATAAGAAAATTTCAGGGGTCCGTTGTACTAGGTTACACAACAAAGGGGTGCACGTGCCGAAAAGTTTGAGAAAACCTACTTTATAGTGACACACGGCATCCTGTTGGCCGACGGCGTCAGACCAATGAGGAAGCTAGTCGACAGTGCTCGTGTGCAACTACGCCAAACTTTGAAACGCACCAACTTGAAAATGCTTATAAACCAAGTTGAAAATGCTTATGAACCAAAATGTTTAATCTATTGACTACCTTGACTCGGAAATGGTATAGAAGTTAAAAGCCTAGTAAAGCACAGTGGGGGAGGTTCAAGAATTGGGGGTTGAAAACAGGGAGGGATGAAAGCTGAGCTGGAATGGGACGATAAGCGTGAAAAAGCGTATGAGAGGGGAATAAGAAGTCTGGAAGACTTGAGCAGTAGCATCCGAAACCCTATCCACCCTGCTCGATGCAGCAGATAGGGCACCGTTGATTATTCTCTGCAGTGGCCAGATCATCAAGAAACTGTTTGAAGAGAAATTCATGGTGTCGCGTGGGCAGGATACTGTCAGGTTGCCCAGGCTTATACAGGAGAATGATTACAGCTATGAAAGAATACAATGCGAAATCCAGACAAATTTTACATAAACAGATGGCCATGTATGTGGCATCTACCTATACAAAGGAATCTTAGATTAACCTGTAACGAATGGGAAACAAAGGTTGTGGGTATGTTGAGAAGAGGATCTAAATGCGAGTCATATTTTTCATGGGGCCCGGTTGTCAAGTCCAGACTAATTCTGCGTTAGAGAGTTTGCCTGAAATGGGATGTGCGCGATCAGCCAACAGGATTGTTGTTACCCAAATTATTATGCAAGGGAAATAGCTAAAGAGAAGCGTGAGTAGGATAACAAACGAACATTTTTAAGCTGCTTGTTCATAAATCGCTCCAATTTTTGGATATTTTGAAGTTTCTTATATTGTGAAGCCTCTGCGTTCGATGTTCTCTGGTATCATACATGATCCGGTCTTTACTCAAGCATTCTGTTATTGTCATTTTGAATGTATAGAATGTATTACATTCTTTTAATTGACAGATAAATTGTAATTGTTTTCTTGAAAATACGCAAATATTCATTACATCCGACTTCTTCAGACAGTTTATTCCGTATTCGTCTGAAAGCAGCAAGAACACCAACACCTTTTAATGACAATTCAGTAGAGGCACAACTCTTAATGAAAACGCCAGCTGCAGGACCCGACTCGGGGACGGTTTCAAGAGTAGCCATACTATCCGGAGGGGCCCAGCAGAGCACGAGCAAACACCAGGATTCGGAGCATCTAATACCTGCTTATATATCAAATACTTCTCGAGAGTATGCAACCCATCCAAAAAACGATTAGTCGCCGACCCTTTAATGGTCGGCGTAAACTCATTTGCTTCATCCACCCCTCCAGTCGCCGGCCACTCACTGGTCGGCGAAACTTCACGTATGAGTTGTACAACTTCTAAAACATTGATTAAATCTGAGAAACTTTCATGTATGTACACCAACGCCCAAGGGTTCCTCAGTAAAATTAACGAACTTCGACTGCGTCAGGTTGCGAATGCTTGGGACCTAATTTCTATTACCGAAACTTGGTTGCATCAAGAGGTGACTGATGCTGAGGTTGAGATAGCCGGAATGTCAATCATCCGGAACGACCGCCCCAGCAGAGGAGGTGGGGTCCTACTCTACTACCGCAGCGATCTACAATGTACAATAGTTGAGGACCTGGAAACACACGTTACCGACTCACTCTGGTGCCGTCTCAGACTGAGACACAACGATACATGTCTCATAGCTATCGTTTACCGTCCCCCAACGTCCACTCTGGAAATGGATTCCTGCTTGATCCGTGGCCTAAACAGAGTAACACGCACTAGGTACAGCCACACTCTCATCTCCGGGGACTTCAATCTACACAATCTGGAGGTTTCGGCATCGCCCAGTGAGCAGTTCAAAGCAGACTTACAGGAACTGATCGCAAATATTCCTTTGTACAATCATGTCACCATGCCCACTAGATTCAGGACAGCAAACAAACCGTCCATATTGGACCTAGTGCTCACAAATGAAGAGCTCATGATTGATAAGTTATTGATGGATAGTCCACTAGGTCTCAGTGACCACGTAGTAATAACTTTTGACTATGTGTGTTATGAAGAGTATCCATCTGAACAATCGGAACTAACTCATACAATCACACGCTACCACGTATTGAAAGAACTCGCCGACGAAGCTGCTTGGGAATTCTCAAACAAAAGTCCCCTTGACAACGTTTGGGCAGAGTTCGTTAAAAAGCTCAGCGACATCGTCAACAAAGCATCAGAGACCAAATCGCTTCGTCCCGCGAAAATGCCTTCAATTATAAGGAGTAGGACTCGCAAATGCCTGGCGATAAGGGATGCAGCATGGCGTGCCTACAAGATTAACCCAGACTCAGAGACTTGGGGAAATTTCCTGACCCATCGCAACCATTGCACCGCACTTGTCCGTGAGGACAAAATAACGTATCAACAGTGTCTAGCCAAAAAGTTCATGGCAAACAACAAACTGCTGTATAAGCTTGTCAATAAGCTTCGTAAAGTGAAGCATGGAATACCCCCACTATTCACGACAGGCGGTAGAGTACAAAGCGCCGAAGAAGCAGCTAATGCACTGCGGCTGCAATACGCCCCAATTTTTGAACTCGCAACATCTACCTGTCCCATATTATCAAGCTCATTACCGACACCTTTGTTTACAAATGTTATTTTCAACCAATCAATTGTGCTAAGGAAGTTACTCTCACTGCGCGAACATAGTTCTC